AGCGGTCATATTTGTTGAAGAATCGACTTCAACGGGATAGGGAACCCTTCGAAGGGAGGGGAGTATTTGCTTGAATGAGTACAAGTTTGCGGGGGCTCTGGGCGTACATTGTTTGGTTTTAAATCGTTTTACGGTCCATTTTCTAAATCTCATTATTTGCTGCAATATTTTCAAGCTGATTCTCCTGAGAGTGCTTCTTCACATTCGAAATTAGGCCGTAAAGCCTAGCCCTGCTGCACAATGAGTTACTATCACTTGGAATTAACACTTTACGAAAGCCCTCTGGAAAAGTAAAGTAAAATCAAATTGCAGCACAAGCAGCACTAAAATGGCAACCCAAACTTTGGTTATATGGCATCCGCAGAAGGATTTAAATTGGAGCAAATTTGACAAAGTTCTGTCAAACTGGCGCTAATGGACTCAGAATTGCATAAAGTGGGCCATCAGCTCCTCACAAACTCAAGTCCTCAGACCATTTCCAAATACACTAAGAATGCTGATAAGGTCTCCTGCCATACTCAGCGGAGATAATCTAGCATATGGTCTCCAGACTGCTTATGCTGATTTCTGCACTTTTTGATGGCATACTGAATGTTCAGTAAATTAATGGTAAATGATTTTGAGCCTTCCAAATTTTGTTAATAATCCTCTTCTAACTTTGCTCAGGCAATAAGCACAGCAAAAAATGACAAGAGTATTTTCCTACAAAAGAATCTTCCCACGTTGTGACAGTTACGAGCAATGGTACACGTCCTCAATACTATACCAAGTCTAAGCACATGAGGCCAAAATTCTCACGGTAGAATAGAGATTACCATGCAGCAAATGATTTATTACAGAACTTGTTATAAAAAGTTATAAAAACAAGTTCTTACATATTTTTGACTCCAGAGTGATTTTTAGATCTTTTCCAAATTTTAGTAGGTTCTGCCATAGAATCAGATAGAACATCTCGAACAGCTTTAGCTTTTTTCAAATCTGTAGATAGATACATGATCGAAGCAAGTTTGAACAAAAGTAAGGGGAAAAAGTTTGGATACTTTTGGATTCTGCATATTTGTCAATGGGAGTTCTCCAGCTACGTTTTTTGAAAAGTAAGTGCAAAGTGTGGTAGCATCGCATTGTTTTCTATGAGCAATCATGTGACCTTTCACGATTGTAGAGCCTGTATAACACAGCAAAAACAGATTCATACAAACGCCATACAAAAGGAGAATCTCTCGCGTTCGCAGACTAACTGCCAACTGAAATTCGGTTACTCCGCATTTACCGTAACACAAAAGCTGGATATTTTGAATGAAAATTTTCACTAAAAATAGCGACGAATTGATGTGTGCTTCAGTTCGCGAGGCTGTAAATTCGTTAGTAAACTACTAGTGATTTTTTCAAAAAGCAATATTGTTAATGAGTGTGAGTTGCGGTAAAAAATACACTTGCGGCTAAAGCATGGAGGAAGTTTTTCTGAAATCGTTCTATTTTCAGAGAGCAAGATGTGGGAAGGAACAGTAGTGAGAATAGTTTGTGTTTTGAAGAATACAAAATCAAATACATGACAATATGCAAAACTATCATTATAAAAAAAGATGTCCTTCTCGCATGCGGACATAGAGACTTACAAGGGCAAAGACTTGCTTTGGGTTCCTATCAAATTCCAATAGCAGTCTATGTCAGATTGATAAAAACATGAAATCAAGGCTAAACAAAAAATTTATTCATTGCAACACCTACACAGAAAAGTGCTAACAACAACAGCAAGGTTAACAAAAACAAGTTTCAACAAGTTTCGGTACTCCTACAATGCAAAAAGACAAGTCATTCATGATAGTCAGTAATGAAGTGAGATCCTCAATGTTCATTGGTCTTCTCTCTCTTTTAGACTTAACGCGAAAATATTGTAAAAATAAGGGCAAAGAAATTACTGCAAACAGCAAATTAGGATTCGCTTTCTAATTCATAGTTCTTGAGATAAACTTGTTTTGGAGGGAGTTCGCTAACAAACTCATCTGGTTTTCTTTTTCCAGCGCCGAAAGTGATGATAGCAATGTAACCCTGAAATAGCGATTTGCACAAATCAATCGACTTCATTCATTTCCAAGAATTTACCTGATTCTCCGGTGCAGTCCTTACAAGGTCTGGATTTGCAGCTAATCGATCATTTACCTAAAACAACAACGCATAAATTACTCATTATCTTTCTTTATCATTACTAACTAACTTCAGCCAAAACACCTCGAACTCCGGCTCGAATGACGAGTTCTTTGCCATCTTTGCATCGTATAGTGCACAATCGGGTTTCTTTTTGTAGATGCAGCCCACCCTAAATTGTAGCTCGAACTAATTTGAGGTGATAAGCAGACTGGGCCAGTCGAAGAGATCAGTTTTGACTCATAAACTTCTTTAATTCAAGCTAAAGTTCTGCTGAACTCCCCTTGAAACCATTATTTCAAGAACCTTTAAGAAAGAGAGCAGACTGATTGATAGGAGTCCAAATCAGAAATTTACCTCTGAAAAATCTTCCATTTTGAATTACTGCGGTAATTATTGTTTTGAAGATTCCTTTATAGATTTGAAGATTTCCTTACTCAAGAAACAAGAAACCGTAATAAAAGTGGCTTGTACCACTACTACAAACAACAAACATGGATTCAAGCACCGCAGCCGCTGAGACAAATCAAGTCAAAAGTTGGATAAAAGGAGGCGGAATGGTCTTGCAACTGTCTCCGCTTCAGGATGAGCTAGCGCTAACTTCTCATTCTATTCTGCTTGGTGCATATCCATGATATCTCCGCTCATAATAAATCTGCTTTCTACTT